TAGACCTCGCCAGCAAATAAAAAGCTCCAAGGGCCTCAGGCTGCGATTGTAGCCCTGGCAGATTTCATTAATCAACACATTCACATGGGAAAGTATATTGAGTTTACACGACCCCCCTCCCCCAAAAAAAAGAACATATCTGATGTGAAGAATAAATTGAGGAAGAATAAATTGAGCTTCTGTTATTTAAAATAAGATGTTGTCCCCCTCAGAGGGCGTTGCATGGCGGTAAATCTGGTGCTTGGATCCAGAATAATGGAAACATTTAAATCTCCCCAAGACTTTTCATATTGACTGGCGTCCGTCGGGTACAAACATAATTATTTCCTCCACTTCCCCTGGGAGTGCCGTCCTGACCATCTGCCTGTGACTTTTCTTGCCGTTTTGTGGCTGGCCCCCACTATCTGCCTTTAGACAGCCGCCATCGTGAAACGCCCTTGAGGAGTCAGCTTCTTTTTCCACTCTGCTGGCTCTTCTGCATCCTCTTGCTCTCCGCAAACATCACGCCGCACCCCTCCAGAGATTCTCCTGACAACTTTGTTAGCCCTGTATTCTTTAACTACATCTCAGGCTTCGCTGTCCCAGATACAGGAGCAGTAACTACACTGAGCAGAAACCTTCATTTCTGGACTTTTGTAGAAGCTCAGTTTGACCGTAAAAGATCTTTTGTGGATTTGAAAGGTTTCCTTTGTATGGAAGTTTCTGCTGAAGGTTCACCTCACTTTTGCGGCTCCTTCAGTGCCACCTGGAAATGGACACCAACTATTGAAGTTGCTGGCAGTTAATTCCACCTTCAGCTGAAGCACATTTCTTCTAGAAACCTTGAATGAAATTGCCCAGGAATCAGGTCTGGCAGCTTGTGTCACATAGAATCTATCCTAGCAGAAGGGTGTGGCCAGGTTCAGAGGCACTTCCTAACACGGGGCACAGATGCGAAGCTCCCAATCCTGAGACTGCTGCTGTGCACCGGTGCCCCCTACTGGTCTTCTGTTTAAGTCGCCCTACAGCAGGCCAAGGGCATCCAAATTGAGAGAGCGAAAGCAAAAATAAATAAATAAATAAATAAATAAATAAATAAAAATACAAGAAAAAGACTGTCGAGATATCAGGTACACCCTAAGGAAGCCCCATGCTGGAGTGAAAACTAACTAGCTGTGAGAAGCTCGCTTTCAGGCAGAAAGAACAGCCCCAGGCCGCAGCAGCACGGAAAGCGGGCAAGTGGGGGGCCGGCTACGTTCTGATCGCACGCCCCCGCCCTCCCGCATCACTCTGCAACGCGCCGAGCCTCACCTTTAAAGAAAACCCGACACTTTCCTGTGAGAACCTCACCAGCGTCATGGCAACAGACAGAATACCGCAGGCCCCTTTCCCACATTCCACGGCGTTTCCTTGGGAGGTGACTCTTATGCCATGTGATGCCCATGAAATATTAATGCCACAGCTAAGCCTGATGCCTCTCCCCCTCTCCTTCCCTCACCCTGTCCTCCCCTCTTTTTCAGGGCAGCTTACTCTTCAGCGTGTCCATCATGAGCGGGATGGTGTGCACGGCCCTTGCCGTGGTCAAGTTCATGCTGGGGAAGGTGCTCACCAGCAGGGCCCTCATCACAGACGGTGGGTAACTTGGAGCCGCCCATCAGTGCTAAGCCCCTCCCCCTTTGCCATGGCAACCATGCCAAGCCACTCCCACCTGAGGTTGAAAGCTTGGCATTAGGGAATTTTGGGAATTTATTTTAACCAAGATCATTATGAAAAAGAAGGCATGCTCATTAGTGAGGATAAGGAGTCTAGCGCACACTCCACTGTGCAAGCCCCCGGGGGGGGTCTGAGCCCCAGCCACTTCTGTCTTGTTAACAGTCTGTTAGCCAATCATGTTGTCATTCACAGAGAAATACAGGCAGCTCTTTTGTTTTTTCAAACCCCCACACTAATTCGACCTGTACCTCAGGAGGCTGAGTTGAGCCAGCTAACCCCCCCTAGTGCTGGGGGTGGGACGGGGGATCTGCTGCCAATAGTGTCGACATGCTTTGTTAATTCGGAGCAAAGACTGTGTGTGTGTGTGTGTGTGTGTGTGTGTGTGATTGCAAATGATTTTGTGCATCGTATGATGTTTATAGTTAGAGTATCCACCTAAACTGAGCAGAAAGGGAGGAAAAACAGACTGAGCAAATTAGATTCCTCATCTTTTCTGCTGGGTTCATCACAGATCCGTGTCCATCTACAGTAGCGGGTTTCAGAGCGTGAAAATGGACCCTATTCCCCTCGTCTCATTATCAGCACGCCGTGTGAATGGACCTCAGTTAACAGGTTTGAATGTCAGACTGAAGGTTTAAAAGCTGGCTGATAGGCAGGCAGACCTGTGTGGTGGGGGGGGGGGGGATCTGGAGCCGACCAGAGCACCGGCAAGATGGGGGCCAAGTCCAAGCAGGCTCAGGTCAGACAGCCTGCTGTCCCTCCGCTCCGCCAGACGGGGGAATAATTGGTGAGAAACAAGGTCTGGACAGGTGCCGGGGGGGCCTTCGGGCACATCTCGGCTGGGGAGGGGGGGCGTGGGGGATAACATCCCCAGTGACAGGCCTGAGGCCGTGCGGAAAGACCTGAAAATAACAACCGGAAGAATCCTTGCAGCCATGTGAAGCAACACCAGCTCCTTCCGGAAGTTTCACTCACCAGCCGCAGATTCTCTTTAAAATGCATTTACCTCTCCTCACAAAATAGATGTGTGCTTTTTTATTGTGCTTTGTTTTATTCATGATGTTTTCTGTGGCATGGGAGAGGATGCCATCCGGCTCCCGTTCATTCAGAGAGAACGGGCTGCTTAGCAACGGGGACGTCACACCTGTCACCATCCGTCAAGGTGCTCTGGCTCCAAACTATTGAGAAAAACACTCCCAGCAGATTCCCCGTTTTCTTGCCTGTGGTTCCAAAAACCATAAAAATGGACTCAGATTTCCTGCTCTTTTTCCGACCTTCCAAATTTCACTGTGGCTTCCGGAAGTTTCTCTTTTCTTCAGGAATAATTTCCTTCTTTTATAATAAACATTCACTGCCATATGTGTGAATGACAGTAAGTGTGCCCTGTGATGGGTTGGCAGCCTGTAGCTTCCAGGATAGACTCCGGACCCCCGACGACCCTGAATAGGACAAGCAGCTTCAGAAAATGAATGGAAGGATGGACATGGGAGTGATGAAAGAGAGAATATCTAAGCCTCATTCCCATGTGCTCAGGGCTTGAGAGCGCCACCTCCTGACTGTATGTCTCTGGCAGGTTTTAACTCGCTGGTCGGCGGCATCATGGGGTTCTCCATCCTCATCAGCGCAGAGGTCTTCAAGCATCACCCCACCGTGTGGTACCTCGACGGGACAACAGGGGTCCTCATTGGCCTCATCATCCTGGCTTATGGCGTGAAGTAAGCACAGGCTCTGCTCCCCAGCAGATCGATTTCATAGATCTTAGCACAGCAGTGGGCCATAGAGCAGCAACACACAGACTCCCGGCAGCAGATAGATATTTCATATGCAAGACCCTGAGTTGTGGACTTTGGTCTTTAATTCGGGGGACTGATCCTTCTGCCGGACAGGTTGTGCAAATGTACTAGGTTAATTAAGCAGTTGGTCACTAAAAACACCCATTAAAGTCTTGTTGTTAGGAAGGGTATATAACCAAACTGCATATATTCACCTTTAGGGATATTGGATACACAAGGTTTAATTGCACAGAAACATTGTCCTATTTGGCAGGCTGGTACTAAACAGTCTCTCTTAAAGCATTACTGCCCCCTTGTGGAACATTTGAAAACAGTTTGACTCCTGATGTTTCTTCACTGTGCCTTCGAGCTTTGAAACTGGGTTGAGTCCCTTGTGTCAGTTTCTTGAGTGCAGCTCCGGCACACTACTCTCAGGCTGGAAACAGCACCCTCTAGTGGTGAAGATTGGCAGCACGGTAAATACAGTCACACATGGCCTTCACCGCCTCCTCCTTCTCTCTGCGCTGCAGGTTGCTGATCGATATGGTCCCAAGGGTGAGACAGACCAGGAACTACGAGCGCTTTGAGTGACGGATGAATTGCCTTCTTTATGTCACTCCCCAGAAAGACTCAGAGGACCCATTGAAAGCAGACCTTTAGGTGCCCGTGGTATTTCAGTTAAAAGCAAGCCATCCATTGCTGAAACGTGCCCTCATCCCCTTCTTGGATTCTTTTAAGTCCAAACCCAGTATATCCCATAATAGCCCAAGAGCTCCAAGGAGCTGCAAGGAGGGAGAAATTATGCCTTTGCTGTCACCATTGAACTAAGTGGAGGCTGCCTGGTCCAGTGCCAAAACCTGCTCTTCTGATCATGCCCAGCAGGGTGGCGCTACTGTTCATCAAACATATCAAGAAAAAAACTACACTACATTTCCTTAAACTACACTACATCTCCTTAAATTTAAAACTAGATGTAATGTTGACACAAATCCCCACAATATCTGCTTAGGTTTCAAAACAATATAATATATTTCAAAGTTTCAAGCAGCCTCTTTAAAGGGTGGATCATCTACTGCCACCCCCAAAAAGTCTCCCACATCTTGTACTTAAAAGGTTGACCCCCCTGTGAGACTTGGAGTGGGATGAGTAGTTGGGCCACCTTAGCGTCCTCCTGTCCGGCACTGGAGAACCAGGGGCCCAGTGCCACGTTCTCTTGGCAGGCCCCAAAGATAAGTGGGAGGTCAAGGTGGCACTGGCCTTACAACCTGACGATGAAGGCAGCATCGCCGCCCTGCTGGTCCTGATGATACCCTGACAGCCATGAGCTAGCAGAGAACCGCAGTGGAGCATGATCATCGCCAAAACAGCAGCACAGGAAAATCCAAGGCTAAATCCGTGGTATTTCTTGGCTGCTGGAGGGGCAGCATGTCACCTGGGAAAGCCGAGGTGTGGGGAGGAAAAACAGACCACAGGGCCACTTGACAGCTGCCCCTGTAGAGTCTCTCTCTCTCTCTTACCTGTAACGCAGATGTTATCTTACAAAGAAGCATAATCCTCCCCCCCACCCCCCTACCAGATGTCCACTCGGTATCTGACTTGTCTGAAGGGCAAATTTGGTTTTGGCTCACAGGATCAATCATCAGACTTTCAGGAAAGATCTTGCTTAAAAATAATAATAGCAACCTGTTTACATTTTCTGACAGGGCACAAAGGCATACAAATCTAAAGACGGAAATCGATTTAACATTTGTTCTATACTGACTTAAAGACACAGAATGTTTAACAATGAAACAAACAAGGATTTCAAAGTAAAAACCTCCCTTCTTGTGAATCCTTGTATTTCTAGATTTTACAAATGCCTGAGGGTTTGTATCCCCTCAAGATGATAGGAGCCCATGTAATCAGGTTAGCAGTCTGCCTCGAACTCCTAGCACAGGAACCCTAAACAGAGGGACAATTTTTAAAAATTTTTAAGCCATGGGATGCACTGGTTTTGTGTTGTGCTGTTTCTAAGTGAAATACCAGCACCTTTTGTATATAGTTTATTATATATTATCCAAAAAAGACAGAATGTGCATTCATGGGACTCGTCTGTCCTGGCAGATGTTTGTAAAAAAGAAAAAGAGTACCCCCCCCCCCTCCGCTCCAGACGAAGACTGTAGGACCTCCTCCGGTGAGGCATCGCTGGCATTAGCCGTAGATTTCTAGCTGTGCGTTTAGTTGTGGATCCCCCCCCCATGTAGGATTTCGCCCAGTGGAATCAGAGTTTGATTTACCGTCAGCAAACCGCTCATTTTAAGTTGACAGCTTGCTTTTCAAACCGGCTGATAGCACACCGGTTCCTCGAACAGGACACCGACAGCACAAGTATTAACTTTTGTAGCACGTTTACATCCTGATCACCTTGCCGTTTGCACCCCCCCGAAGAAGCACAAGAATGTGGAGTAGGGGGAGAATAGCACAGCCCTCACATCCAGGGAGGGGGCTCAGAACAAACAGGCCTTAAGCTGTACTGATAACAATCATAAATGTGAAACCCTGAAACCAGTTTCATGGGATCCACCTCATTAACATTCTAATATTGGTTAAGTGGCCATTTGTATCGTGAGTGTAAGACGATAGGCGTTTAGGACATTTGTACACACTGTAACGTGCTGGTACACTGTGCAGGTAGTAACACGACTAAGCATAGAGTATTTATTGTTACCCAGTATATTTAAATAATTTGACAGTACTATCGATGTATGTACAGAACATTTTGGAAACATTTCAGAACTTTTCTTCTGTATGAGTGGAGATTTTGTTGAGAAATGGTTGTATGTAAAATACTTGAATGTTTGCACACACACATGTAGGAAGAAGCTTCCAGTGACATTCTCACGCGGCCAATGTCACATGACATACTGAAAGCCCCCACTCAGGAAATCCGTGCTAATGGTCCGGAACCAGAAAAGGGGAGGGGTTTCAATTTGTACATCTTCTCCGTCTCACTCACTCACAAGCACACACACCTACTCTGCAAGAAGTGGCCAGATGGACTGACTGTTGAAAGTAGATATTATGTGGTTTTAGAGCTCACTCCAGCGGGAGACCTTCTGCATGACCCAAAACCTCCTGGATGCAAATATGCCTCCCAGTGTGCCAGTATCCTGCTTTGACGCTACCTTACACACACACACACACACACACACACAGATTAGGTATCTAAATCTTTGTGGGGACACTTTGTTCATTTCACTTCTGTCACATCTTTTTAACCATAAGTAGCCAAACAAAATACAAGATTTTTGGCATATTTAGTTTTTGATTGATTTCTCAGTTATGTATAGTTTCCCCCCTTGTGGGGACCAAAAAAATATATCCCCACAAGGGCAAAGTAACATTCTTATCACATTGTGTTTGGTACCCACAATGTAATATATACATGCCCACGCACACACGTGCATTTCTGTCTATGAGGACTTCAATACAGTGACTGATTCCTAAAGCCATCCAGATGAAATCCTTAAAGCTGATAAAGGGAAAGCAGTTTGTTCAAAGCAGATCTAGTTTCCAGAGTGACGCGTATATGGACATGTGCTCACACACGTGTTGGTACAGATTCTGAAAACAGCAGCAGTTTCCGGTGCCGTACATGATGTCTCAGTATGGATGTGATTACCGTACCGTGGGTGATGTGTTCACTCTATATTTTATAT